GAAGTAAACAGTTTCTACCTCCCACAGATAGAGATAGAGGTGCAGTAGGGTTGTGGTTTCGACATTTTATGACTCGAGCGATATATGCTAGACGTTGCCTACCTGCATCCGCGTGCTGAAAGTGTGCATAAACAATTGGTAAGTTTGAGCAAGTGTTGTTAACATATATACTCTTTGTTGGTTTAAAAATGTTTGGTTAAGTACCTAGAATTCAATAATTTGTTGTTTGTTGGTTTTAGATGTGTAGAAAGTGTTGTTTGAGCAAATGTTTGGTTTCTGCAGGTTAATCATGAAGTGAGCTGTGCAAAATTGATGTATTTGTGCATAAACAACTGTCTGGGGTGCACTTTTTTTGCTTGTTTAATTGAATTTTACATTGATTTGTAAAAGTTGATTTGTTTAATTGATGAGGAAATAAGAATTATTTTTTTCTTGTTTAATTGATTTGTAAAAGTTGATTTGTTGTTTTAAATTTCAATCTGCATTATGTTGAAGGTAAAAAAGACCTGTTGAAGGTACACTTTCGCAACGCGAAAGTCAAATTGGCGTTGCGATTTCGCGTTTCTTATTTGACTTTCGCAACAATCGCAACAAAAAATCTGATAAGTGATAACAACTGAACAGATCATAGCAATGTTCAAACTCAAGTTACTAATGAATGTCTAATGCATTCACACATAAAATACACATAATACAACGTTTGCATTTAAAAATCACCTAAGTTAATAAATCCCAAAAGGTGAAGCCAGTTGTGATTGAGATTTATTGCGATTTTGATTTCCTTTTGCTTGGCACCATATGAACATTCTCCCATGACCCTCCAAAACACAAATCTATCCAAACATGATCAACATTAGATGGTCTCATTCTACAAATTGTAAATTAATTTACTAAACAAACGAGCTATAAACTACATATCATCACTAACTTAGAGAAAAACATACCTTTATTAAGTCGATAGTTGATAATTTGAGAGAGACATCATTGAAAAATTATATAGAAATAAAATTATGCAAAACAAATTAGAGATGGGGAAGGATGTCGTTGGATATAGAAATGGATGTCGCTGGAGAGAGTGATAGATGGAGATGGAATGAGTTGCGATTTAGGGATTTAGGTTATGAGTTGCTGCTGTTGCGTAGTTATATACCCAATACATTTGTGTTGTGAAACTAAAACCTGTTGCGAAATTAAATTCGTGTTGCAAATTCGAAAATCGAGTTGCGAATTTGAAATTCAGTGTTGCGAATTTGGAAACTGGGTTGCGAAATTAGAGTTCGCATTGCGAATTTGTTGGTCATTTTCGCAAATCCAAAAATAGTTGGTTAAAATCGTATATTATAAGGCATTTTCGGTCACTAAGGTTATTTTCTCTTATTATTATTATTATTATTATTATTATTATTATAACATTTCATAACAATGGTTAGAGAAATTATAGTAGCATTTTGAATACGATATTAGTATTATTTATAATATTATTATGTTAAATCAAATAGCTTCAATTAAGTTGAGTATAGTCACTTTTTTTTAATGCTTATATGATTATTTGGTCATTACCATATAAGTAATGTTCATGTGTATTCCGCACAATGGCGGAGCCACGACTTGGTCAGAGTGGGCACATGTCCACTCTGAAATCTAAATTTTCTTCGATTAGTTATTTATTTTACTTACGGTGTCCATCCTGAAATTTTTTGTGTCCATCCTAAAATGTGAGTTTTTCTTCGATTAGTTCTTTATTTTATGGATGGTGCTTACCCTGAAATTTTATTTATACCCGTCTCATTTAAAATTTTATGTTGTTAATATATATATGCCTACCCTGAAAAATATTTATAGATCCGTCACTATGTGTATTATTGGCTCATTTAGAGCAACAAAGGATGCCACCTATTGTATTAATAAGATTAGTAATTTAAATGTTTTTATTGTTACTGAAATATGTTATGTTAATCTCTATGTATATGATGACGTTCGAGACTCGAGTGATATTTTAGACCACAATTGAGTCTATGTAGTTCATATATGTATCTTAAAGCGTTACAACAAAAATTAATGGTATTGAAAAACTTACATTTATATTATTGTTTGTATTATGTGACATAAAAATCGACGGTACGTTAATTGTCATCCTAGGTGTATCATTAAATGACTAATGTGATGATGTATCTTTATCCATCACATATTATTAAATATGTAGTGATATATATAGAACGTCGTCACCTTATAATTTGTATTCAATAACAATTAATTACGTCATCAAATAATATAAATTTTTATCATTATTTATTATCGTCGCCAATAATATAATAACTTTATTATATAAATGACGTAAAATGTAATCAACAATATTACTTACATAGTATATCATCACCTATTAATAATATAAATGACGACATTACATAATATCATTTTATACTTTTTATTAGATGAAAACTAAGTTCGTCACTAATTTATTAAATATTTTATATAAATAATAACTTTATCTATATAATTTTTAGAATATTTTAAAAAATTTAAATTAAAAATCTTAAAATTACGATAATGGTCTAATTTTTTTTATAAATTACAATAAAAACTAATTTTTTTCATAGCTTCCCATTCAACTGAAAGTGTGGTTGTGGTCTGCAACGATACCCACTAAATGTATACTTACCTAATCATTGATTGGTAGGCCATGATTCAAAGGGTAGTTCTGTTGTTGTGTGACATTCTAAGGTTAATTTAAGATAATTTTCAACTTAAAATATTATCATATTCAATCTAAAAAAATGTATACAATTTATAATACTTTTTGTCAAAAAAGTTACACTGTGACGGGTTTAGGTTTTATAAGTGAAAAGTTATATAATTTGTAATAATTTCAGTTAAAAAAAATATTACGAAAAAGATAATATTTTTAGTTTCAATCTAAGATGTTATCACATACAACCTAAAAAGTTATGGGTTTGATGAGATTTTCGATTGCACTTGATTTATGCCATTTTTAGCCTTATATGAATAAGTTGTATTTTAAACTCTCACGGACTTGATATAAGGCGAAGTTAGCTCATTATTTGAGTGGTTTCACTCATGTCCCTTAGATTGAACAAAATGAGATGCCAACTGAAACCTGCATGATTCTAGATTTTACATCCATTAGAACAGAAGTTAATGTGTTGAGGGTGAAAGGTTCACGATTGATATTATTGCTACAACAAATGGCTCAAAATGGATGGATAGACCAATAAGCACCATGATAATCTCATAGACTGGATTAGTTAGAACCTGTTGATCGTTTGAGTCCACCACCCTTTTTACATTTCATTTTGTCATCTTGTCTCTGTCATCAACAATCAGAATCTAAAATCATTTAATTGATTAAATGAAAATGAATTATGTAACACTATTATTGATTAGTTAAAAATAATAATTAACTTCTTATAGAATTGTTAAGTCATTTATGAGGTTGAAAAGTTTCAAGTGAAGACATTAAACTTTCTTGAGAACCAAACACAAGTTTGCAAACACGTTACACCCAAAGAACATGAGATTTGTTCACTAAAATATATACAAATCCCTGAGCTTAAATTGTTTTCACTTGTGCATATGACAAGTAAAATTCAAGACTAGGATAAGAGTAAAGAAGAATGCCATCTAAAATTAAACATTTTCTCCAAGCTCGGAGTCATGGGAGCATTTTATGATCCTAATTTATAGATGAGCAGCATACGAACTGAACCCATAGTTACCTACCTTTTATGATACATGCATCACAATGCTCACATCAAAGGAAGAAGTAATAACTCTTCCAAATGATCCACTTGTCCAAGCCTTAGAAAAGAAGATCAGAACAACAGCAGACTTGCGACGACTTTTTGAATGAGATCATGATCTTATTTGGTCAACATATCTTTTGGACATACAACCGTATGTCTCTTAGCTTTCCAACAGTTCTTGAATCGCATCAATTCGATATCAGGAACTCAAGATACATTCATTTTAGTGAAGACAACTCATGCATAAATTCTTATACGAGATTAATACGTAATTTTGTAAATATTACGAATTTTTAATATTTATATTGATTATTTGTAATATAATTTAATATAGGATGATGCGTTATTTTTTAGGATTATATTTATTATTTTATTAAAAATTAAAGTTGAGTTAAAACATTAATTATTATGATTTTATTAGGAATCAGAGTTAAGATATGTTTAGTTTGTTATTATTTTATTCATTAGTTATTTATGATCTTTAGAACTCAACCCATATTTCTTTTAATACAAAGAGAATTCGTTTTTGCAAGTGTTGATTGTCTTGTGCCTTTGAAGCTTATTCTCTTGGAGTTCTTTCAAGTTTTTGTGAGAGATTAATCTCCACACTCCAATTTGCATTTTCATCACGACTAGAAGGGTTGGTTAGAGTCGTATTATTGTGTTTGTCTTTTCATTACGACTAGAAGGCCTCGATAGGACATTATCTATATATTTTCCACAAATTTATCCTCACCATCATCACCTTTGTCATCCACAGAATCATCATATTTGACATCCACCTTCACAAGGGAGATCTTTTGATTTATTGATTATCATAATTTATTTTTAATATTCTTTATCTTTTGTATATTATTATAATATTATTTTTTTTATCTTGTTTCCAGCACCTAAAAAAATCCTAAAGAACCTTACTTGCTGCCGCCACCTTCCCCTATTCATTCCCATTGTTTTTCATCAAATCTAGAACTTTCTAGGTTTAATTCTTCAACAAGAACAACATTTATTAATCAGCCACCGCTTCCCTATCATTTTACTTTCCGTTTCTGTCGCTTAATCGCAGCCGGAAACCTTGACAGTGAACTCCATTCTTTCCCTACTTCCATGTCAGTTGGTGCAGCTCTAGGTGTTTCAGGGACAGGAACTGAGCTAAGTTTGTCCACCGTAGCTTCAGTATTGTGACTTCGAATTACAACTGGTGCGAGGCTTTGATTCGAGCTCGGGGATTTCAGTTTCATTTCAGTGTTGAGGTGTGTGCTGATTTGCATTCCAGTTGGTTACTTTTTTTATGATCTCTTGGTTCTTTCTTCCTGGAGACTCGTTTGCCACACGAGTATCAGAAGGAAAACAACTGGCTTGCAAAGGCATTGCTCGAGGGCTTCGAGTAGTCTGTACTGATCGGATTTCAGACATGATGGATTTTTGGTCATGACCTCCAGACTCAACCAGTGTTATGAAAGATGGTAGGTCGAATTCGTAGGACTTGTCAAAACATTGCTCGGATGTAGTTCTCGACTTCTTGGCTTTCTCTGCTTCAGAAAATGCATCAGATTGGGTTGAAATAACTGTTCCATGCACAAAACCAAGAAATGGAATTAATTCTTTGAACACAATGCATCCAGTGTTATCATATGCAATGTTTAGGTATTTATCGATCTAGAAAATGTGATGACTCGTTATCATTCGAAGCAGAAAACAATTATCTATCCACCTGAAGTAGCCTACTTCAGAAAAAAATTGGTTCCAAACTTCATACAAGTTCCTCCTTAATGGTTAGGTAAGTCAGATTAGAAACTCTTCATAATGCTAAGTTTATAACAGAAAAGTTCACACATCTTCAATGAGCATATAGAAGTTAATGTACCTGAAATGGATCCCCAATGAGCTTCCAAACTATCAGTATGGCTACTGGATCCAACCGAAACATCACCTATGGTCGTATCGAGTTGAGGTTTAACAGAGCCATTATCAGACTCTCCTTGCAAAGTTACAGTACTAGTCCTGGATGCAGCCGGTCCAGACTCTCGGGCATGGCCATCAACAACAGCAACAGAACTTTGACCGAAATGCTCGAAGAATTGAGTTGAATGCATCAACTCTAACTTCGATTGATCTATTGAAGTTCTCTTGAACTCATTTTCTCTGTTGTTTACTGCAGAAGACATAAGATCTTTGCCAGCACCCTCTCCTTGTACCTTGTTATCCCTACCTAGTTCAGGTTCCTTTATTTCATCTTCCCTGTTTGAAACTCTATCCAAGTGTGGGCCTTCAATCTCATTCGCTTCCTCTATGACATCTGTTGATCGATTATAGGCGCTAATGGATTCAGAGTTCGAGTTTGCCTTGATCGAATCCTCCAGTCCATCACCACTTTCAACTACATTGGTATCATGTTTTTCAGTTTTCTTGTTTCCAATATCATCATAATTTTCAACCTCATGCAAGTTGGGTGGCGGATTAGCATGACATAATGTGTTTTTCGTGAGATTATCACCTCCTGCCCCTTCGGAAACACACGAATCATCCTTGCAAACTACATTCTTCAACTTCCCAGCCTCAATATCAGCATCAGGAACCATTGATTGCATATCAGGCACATCATTTATCTTGCTTCCCGAGAAACCTGTCATATCAAAATCATCAGCAACATAAACAGGCTGCTGTTCTTGACGACAGGTTTTATGGTCCTTCTCACTCTCGGTTGTATCAGCATCAAGAGGAGACAATGCATCAGACCATTTTTGGCTCTGAAGCACACCAGCTTTCTCCTCGAAAAGCACTTCTTTAACAATAGCCTCATTGTTTCTGTCAAGCTCATAGTTGTCTTTGGCAACTAGCATGTACGAAGCATCTATCTCGACTTCTTCATCCAGCTGATTTGCCAGGGAAGAATCAGGTTTGCCTTGTGAAACACAGTCTCGTACTTCTACAGATGATTCAACAAACTTGTCAGCCAACCCAATTGCTGAAGTTATATCCTCCATCTTTCTGGATGTTACACTAGCATCCTCACCATTCGATTAAAAATATCAGTTACGTTTCTTTCTAAATCCATTCTCGGGCTTACATTCCCATTGGTCTCTTCCTGCTTAACAGTTTCATTCATGGATGTCTTAGAATCCAGCCTATCACTAAACTCTTCCTTCAATTGAACAATATCTGAAGTTACATCCAGTCTCTTTTCCAAAACAAACTGTTTTCGATACTTCACCAGCAGCATGTTCACTAGGAAGAATCAAGTTATCGGATAAGTTTCCGTTTACCTCACCTTCTTCATTCCCATTGGAATCAGTCCGTTGCTCAACGGAAAACTCTGCAGCACTAGGACCATTACCAACTTCCCTACTCTCTTCAGAGACGCCCGTTAGTGTTTCCGTTTTGATTGGAACCACGTCAATCGCAAAAGCATTTCCATCCTCGGAATCCTTACCATAGCTCAAGACATCATCTTGGTGCTCTAGTGTCCCAGTTGACACGATCGGCATGATTTTTGGAGATGCGTCTTCATTTCGGCTCTTGTCAGTTGAATTACGTGGTGGCTGTAGGATATCTGCATACATAATATACACAACCAACTTCTATATATGATCAAATTTCTCAGACAAGCCATTAATGAAGTCATCTAACTCGAAATAAACGCCATCAAATTATTCTCAAGTCTCGTAAAGAAACTTACCAGTCCCTTCCAATTGTTTCGAAGAAATGTTGGTAGCAAGATCCTTGTCTGGTTTACCGACATTATCCAAACTGTCCTGCCTTCTAACATCAAATCCACTATCTTGAAACTCCACCTTATCAACTGAAGAAACTTCATCTTCAGATCTATTTGACATTGCTCCAATTCCACCTTTACTTTCCTTCACACTAGTAATTCCACCTTTACTTTCCTTCACACTAGTAAATCCACTATCTTGTGATCTTCATCAGAAACTGGCTCATCATCTGAAGCATTTGTGTTGGTCATTTCATCAGCTGGCTTAAAGCCTTCAATGGTTCCACAAATCTTCCTGTGAGCACGCCTGTGTCTTGCACTGGGGTGCGGGTTTGGAAATGGCCACCCACATTTGCTACAAAAATGAACCCCATGGCTCTTTTTCCCTGCAGAAAACCAAGAAAAAAAATGGTTACTTTATAAACAAGCAAAAATAAAGTCATTTTTTTCCTGGAAAATGAGTAAAATCAAGAAAAAGATGGGCACTGGAAAGCCAAACAATTTCAACCACGCAAAGAAAATGATTATAAAGCAATGAATGAAACAAAAACACCAAATCAGACCCAAAAGGAAAAAGAAAAACCTGAGGAATGATTTCTTCCATGATCCATAAGTAAAAGGATTATGAAAATGAACCAAAACTTAGACTTCTTTAGATTTCACGATCTACTCAGTTTTAAAGACCTTATTTGTTTCAAAGTTAAACAATCTGCCCCATAGTTTAATTATAGCTTCGTCCTGCTTTTAGAGATTTTTTAATTAATTTGAGGTAATTATAATCTAGTATATATTCATAATTTGTTTAGTAAATTGGTAATGAAGTATACATTTTGTAGGTGTAATTATTAGAACTTAAAACTTATAACGAAAATAATACTCTTTTTTATCACTAAAATCACATAATAAATTTTTTTTAGTGATTATTTTGACAAGGGGTTAATCTTTCAAAATTATTTAATAAGGAATATTTTTTAACTGAAAATAATTATTGTTTTGATTCTAAATTAAACTCAAACTATCAGACATTGTAATCAACTTAAAATAATATTATTTGAATAATTATATTTTATAAATTCAAATATAATAATAACATAATTTAGAATCTCATTTAAAGATTTGGTACAATATAAAAAATATATTGATATATAATTTTAATTAGAGTGAATATGTAATTCGATTAGAATATGATGAGTTTGTACCTATAATAAAAATCCTTAATATTAAAGTAAGTATCCACGTTATATTCAAAGTTAATTTTTGGTGTTTAAAAAACTTTTCGTTAAAAATAAGTGTCTAATATTTTCTCCGTTATACATTTAGGTGTCTACCATTGGAAAAATTCGTTATGTGACATGTGTTACTTAACAATAATTTAAATGATAGGCACCTAAAATTATAACGGGAAAAAATATTAGACACCTACTTTTAGCAAAAAAATTATTTAGGCATTAAAAGTTAACTTTAGGTATAATTTGAGCACTTATTTTTGCATTAACCTAATAAAAATGATATTTTTTATAAATAACCAATTAAACATTTATTTAAAAAATCAATTAACCAACCATGTCAAAAAAGAGAAGTGGCACAAACCAATCGACCTTAATGTTTAAGGGTTTATTGTTATATCTTGAGGTTCTAAGTTCGAGCATTGCGTATGACAGAGGTATGCACGTTCATTTTCAAAAAAAAAATTAAAGTCTTTAAACAAACACTACTTTATATATATTACATATATATATGTACCCCAAACCCGTTAAAAATGAAGATCTAATTATTTTTAAATCATGTTATACTCATTAAACTTTTAAGATCCAATCAAATTTTAACCTAAAAATATACCTAAATTAAAATCAAATTAATTTAACTAAAAAACTTATAACAAATTTAGGTTAATTCAAAGAATTGAATTAGCTAAATATTTTATTAGATTAATAACTAAAAAATGTTCAATTAATAGTTAAAGAAAAAATACTGATTGATTTGATTTAGACTAATTTGATATCACTTGTTGAATCGACGGATTCAACATCCTTAATCCACTCCAAACCTTAACAGGCCCCCAAATCTACCGAAGCCTAAACTTAGCACTGTTCCCAATTTCTTGATCTTCTGCCACCTTCCTCACCACCGTTCAAATCTTCTTCTGCCTTATCTCATTCTTTAAAGAAACAAACATTTCCCCCTTCAAAATTCGAACTCAACTTTATCAACACCAAAATCGCATCCCTAATATCTAACGATAAAAACAATGAAGTAAATTGTTGAACTTAAATATTTTATGGGTAAATTACAAATTTGGTAACTGAACTTTCATATGATTCCTATTTTACTCACCATACTTTTAAAAATTTCAATTTTCTCACTCAACTTTATAAATTGAACTTTTTTGGTCACTCCACCATTATATCACTAATAGCTTGTTGACATGGAATGTTTTAATATTAAACATGCCACATTGGATTTCCACGTAATAATTATAATAAGGGTAATTACAAATTTGATAACTAAACTTTCATATGATTCCTATTTTACTCACCGTCCTTTCAAAATTTTTAATTTGCTCACTCAACTTTATAGATTGAGTTTTTGGACGGGGTAAGCTGGGGTGTGACGAATGGACGCAGGGTGACCAGAAAACAGGTTCGAACTACTTACTCAATGACTGATGCGGAGGCAGCGAAGATGAGAGGGTAAATTGATTGAGTTTTGATCGGAAATAGGAGAAGACTTCAGCAGTGACAACGATGAGACGAACGTATGACCCGGGTTGTAGAAAATTGACGAAATTCAATGGGAAGCTTTGGTTTCCTGACGAACCTTCGACGCTTTCTATGCGACGAACGAGGGGAGCCTTGATGGATGGGCACCAGGGTTTTGGTCGCGGTGGCCTGACACTCACACCGATACTGGCAGTGATGGTTACCGTCCAACAACGACAGAGATCAACGATGGGTCATCGAATGATTTCCTATGATTTTACGACGAGCGAAGAACTTTCATCAACGGTGAAGAGTAATGCTTCGATCGGGAGGCGACATTGGTGCTGCTAGAGGTGGGTGTGCGAGCCACCATTGGCCGTAGATGGGTTCAACGATGAGGGCAGCGGTGGAAGATCATTGGCGATGAGAAGTTTAACAACAGAGTGACCAAAAAAACTCAAACTATAAAGTTGGTGAGTAAAATATGAATTATATGAAAGTTCAGTTATCAAATTTGTAATTTATCTTTTATTTTTTCCTTACTTGTCATACCATATGTGGCTTTTAACGATTAAAAAATTATTTCTCTAAGCCACGTCATAAATACGTGAGAAGTTTAACGGTAGAATGACCAAAAAATCTCAATATATAAAGTTGAGCGAGTAAATTGAAAATTTCAAAAGTATGGTGAATAAAATAAGAATTATATGAAAGTTTAATTACTAAATTTATAATTTACCCACTTCTATTAATTCAAATTCTAATGAATTTTGTCCATGCGTACGACCCTTATTTCTAAAGTCAAAATTGCCCCAATAAACTATATGAGTTTTTTATTTAACCTAATAAGATAAATAAAAAATTATTTTGAGATCTATGATATTTTTTACATTGAATTAATCATATTAATATGATGAATTTTAATAAAAAATTTATATTTTATTATAACTTGTCGTCTCGAACTAACGAGTTTTAATAAAAAATATTTTTTTTAAAATTCGTTATTTTGAGGTAATGAGTTTCAATAACACTCTAAAAAATATTGTATATCTCAAAATATAAACCGAGATATTTTAATAGACCAAATAAAAGACTCGTTATCTTATTTATAAAAAAAAAACCTATTTCTAAACCCTCGCCTGTGGCCTGGAAATGAATTTTTTTCTATTTCCCTCCCTCTGTTCCTTGGTACTCCAATTTACTAATTCCCCAAACAGACTCCAAATTCCAAAAGAAAACTCGGTGTATTTTCCTAAATTTTCCCGAGATAAAAAAATGAGCCTCAATTGTAACGCCAAAACCCCAAAAAAATTCTCACCGTTCGACCAAACCCCTCCTTTCCAAGACCTACATCAAGCCTTCTCCAACCTCCAAAGCCACTGCTCTTCTCTCCTCCGACAAACCCACCATCAGTTGAAGGACGCTTTTAGCTCCACTTTTCAGCACTTCAACCCGCCTTCCTTTTCTCCAAAAGCCCCAGTTTTTGCTCGAATTGCTGATTCTAGCAAGACCCAGATTGAGTTGAGTAGAAAAACCGGGCCCGCTGAGAAGATAGAAGAGAGATTGGCTGGTGTTCCGGTCTATGCCTTGAGTAATCCGGATGAGGAATTCGTGTTGGTTTCGGGTGTTTCCACGAAAAAATCACTTGGGTTGTTGTGCTTCAAGAAGGAGGACGCCGAGGCTCTTTTGGAGCAGATGAAGAGTATGGATCCTGGCATGAGAAAAGGGGGTTCTAAAGTGGTTGCTATTGCTCTCGACAAGGTCATTTTCACTCTCTTTTTTCTTCCTATTTGATTATTTTTTTTAATTCTTTTGGTAGATTGAATTTGTGTTGAGAATGTACAAAGTTGTATGTACTATGGAGTCCATTGAGAAGCTAATGTTTAATGTATCTCTTGTTTTCTTTTTCTTTTTCTTTTTTATGTTTCCGTTTTCTTAGATATGAATGAAAAGGTAACAGCTTTGAAAGTGTGCTGTATTTCAGCTGTTTGTTGATTTTAATGAAATAGGATTAAACTTTTTACTTTTTATTTCATTTGAGCAACATTTTGAGGAAGGAAGAAGTAAGCAGCAATAGCAAAATATGAAATCGAGCCTGTTATCAGATTTTAACATACGCTTTGCCTTTAAATGATAATTAGTTCACTTTTTTTAGTGTAATTATCTTTTTATTTGATTTATATGACTCAGATAAATGTTCTATGGATCATGCTTGGATATGGAGTTTTGCAGGTTGTCCAGATGCAGGTTGCTGGTGTTGCTCTTAGGCTGTTGCCAGATTCCACTCAGATCAAGAATGCGCTTAGAGTGAGTGATGCGCTACTTAATGAGCTGATTTGTCTGTGATTTTCTTTTTCTTTTTTTCTATGTGAATGGATTGAATTTTTTGCTCTCTATTTGGGTTCTTTATAAGTTTCAAGATCGATGGAGGAATCTTATATTTTTATCGTTCTTCCTTTTATGTTTTAATAACCCTGACAAAGGAAAATGTCTGACACAAGGACTTCAGCCACCTGGTATATGAAAAAGTGATTATTTTATTTATTCTTCTTGTGAGAAACCAGTTTATATGTTCTTCTTTCCTGTGTAGAGGAATGTCATACCTGGAGTCTTATCTTCTTCACTATTTGAGTGTAAAGCTTTCAAGATATTTCTCCTATGTGAATTTTGCAATTGTTGGGTGTGATATCACTGTTAAATTAGCAGAGCCAAATGGCAATTGCTGTTATTTCAAGCCTCAATTAACTTTACATATGAAAATTAATTACCCTCTTTGGGTTTCTATGACAAGCCAAACGAATCGCTTATGAGTAGCCAAGCGTGTCAGTTTCTTATAGCACCAGTAGGGTTTTTATTTTATATATATCTATTTCAGAACCTGTTAACGTTTTACAAATTGGTAGTATATCTATGGAATATGGAGTGAGCTTATGATTTTGGTTCAGAATTATGTTGAAGTCAAAAAAATTACACTTCGCTAGATTTTGACTGGTACCAAGAATGGTCAACATTCATGAAATGGCTTTTTCTTCTTTCAGTAAGAATGGCTAATTAATTGTTTGTTCTTTGTTAGTTTGTTCAATATATTTTTCCTCTCTCTCCTCTTTTTGTCTGTTAATGCTTACCAACTTGCATTTATTGTTTGTAAATGCATATTACAAAAAATTATTGGTTTTATCCCCTTTGTATAGGAACGGGAAAGAGCTGGTTTCTCTGATGATAGCTTCCCTGGTGTTCCAGTTTTTCAGGTCCTTTCTAACAGTGTTTTATACATTATTCATATGCAGCTTATATGTCTGTGTATTTCTGCATTAATTAGGTGGAAATAATGAATAATCAAATAACTTACGTAATATGTGGTAATCAAAAGTAGGTGCAATGCATTTTCTACTAGTTTTAACTATGCATTCAGATACTATATAGTATATAGTTATAGCTAGTTGTGCCATTAGACTAGAATGAGATTATAAAATTCATTAAGCATTTTTTTTCGGCAATGTTTGTTGACCTGCAATTTTCTTTTGCATCCTGCTCTTTCTGCATGAACATGTTATCTTTTGAAGCTTTGGTTTCTAAATAGTTAATTGCATCATTTTTTGTGTGCCTTATGACATGTTTAAAATTAATCTGAGGTAGGCTTGACAATGTTGTCTGATTTTTGTCTGGCTTAATGGTTTTTGAATTTGATTCTATTCTTTGTGACCCGGAGGTGTTTCTGCTTAGTTGCAACTTGCATTTGCTTTAAACATCACTTGGGAGTTAAGGCTGTCTCCAAGCACCACTTGTACTTGATTATTGCAAGATTTGAAATTGTTGAAATATTTGACTTTCAGTCTAGGAGCTTGGTATTAAGAAGTCAAAACAAGAGTTATCGACCAGTTTTCTTCCGGAAGGTTGGTAAATACATATTCTTGATATATGCGTGGTATTCATGGATAGTCCTCATTTTTTGCTTCAGATCTTATGTTTTGAAGTTCTTATAGGAGGATTTAGAGCAATCACTTCTGAGAGCTTCCCGTGATCAGAATCAACTGAATCCTGCTTTAAGACCTGGGGATATTCAGGTAGGCTGCTGTTTTCTTGAAAAGAATAAAAGTTTGAATAAAATTTATTTTATTCACACACACTGACACATATATTGTAACTTATGCTTTATAATTAAATGATATACTTTCTTTAAATTAATAAATGTATATTAAAAAAAATCACAGGTTGCTGTTTTTGAGGATATAATCAAGGGGATGAAAGTAAGTTGCTGCTTTGTATTAACAATTTTCTCATAGTATGGGAAACTTTAGGGATAATAACCATTTGCTTTTTTATTCTGTTACTCTTGTCAACTAAAATTTGCAGGACAGTTATGTGTCGAATTGGGATGATGTTGTTTTCATTCCTCCTGGTTTTGATGTTTCAACCTACCCCACCCAACAACAACAATAGGCAACTGAATGAGTTGGTAATGGAATCTTTTGCTAGTAATATTTTTATTTGCTTGCACCCATTTATATTGATTTTCTGGGATAAAATTAAAAATGCAATTACATAATGAAATGATGAAGTGCAGAGGTTTAATGAGCATTCATTCATATCATCATATGGCTGCTTGTCGGTAATGAAATCTTTGGCTAGTGTCTATTCATCCATTCCTCGTGGTTTTGATGTTTCAACCAATCCCACACAACAACAACAATAGGCAACTAAACGAGTTGGCAGTGAAATCGTTTGCCTTGCTAGAATAAAATTTATATGCCTGCACCCTGTTTATATCGAGGTTCTGGGATGAACTTACATGTTAAGCAATATAGATAATGAAATGTTGAAGTTTATAGATTTAATGTTCGTTCATTCATTCATATGACAACTTTAGGCAGTGAAATCTTTAGTTATTTTTTATTCATTTAGTCTTCTTGGTTTTGATGTTTGAACCTATTCCCATCCAACTACAATAGGCAACCAAACAAGCTGTTAATGAAATTGTTTGCTTTTGTATGCTTGCAACCCTATTCGTATCGACATTTTGGAATGAACCCTATTTGCTTTTGTATGTTTGTTCATTCATATGACATTCTCAGATGATCCACTTGATGACGCTGGCTGGGTTCTACAGCCACAGATCCGAGCTTGACTGCTTAGAGTTCTTGGTCTGTTGTTTTGGGTTCGTTTTCGATGTTCTCTTCCCTAGAGAAAGTAAAATGTAATATTTGTGTTATCTTCTTAGTTGCATATGCTTTACTATGCTGGTTCTGGTTTTCAATCTGCTTACAGAAGGCAGAGGAAGACTTGTTCTAAATGGAGTTTAGTTGGACTGAAATAGATACAACAAAAGCATGGAGATTAGTATAAATTACACTGTTTAAGATTTTTTTTAAATGCAGTATGAAAAATAGGTAAAACTTTAATCAAACTTATAACACTGAATGTAACATAAACATATACCTTTTCTTTAATTCGATTACGATGAGAAATTATGTAAAATATGAATGGTATGTTTCGCATGGTAGAAAGGTAAGTGATACTGTTTGCTCAAAGCAATTGAAGAATGGCTAAATTATCCATTAGGACCAACTATGTGATTTTTAATTTACAAGCATCATTGATAGTTGGTTGGGTGTTAAGAAGTATGTATTGATTGTGAATTGTCATGTTTTAGATGTTACAAGTATATTTGTGAATGGTTCTCGACTTTGGACAAAAAATAAGGAGCTATTTTTGTGGCTTAATTATGCACGATTAAATTTAATTTTGTAATTTTCGTACGAAAGGATCAATCCTTTGAAGAATTGGATCGCTCCAATAGATATTGAATGAAAAAGACTGATCTCTTTGCACGAATGATTTAGGTGCTTCCATATCCTTTGTCAGTCTAGGTTTGAATTTTATTATTATCATTTTTCTTTTTTTTTTCCTCATAATCTAAATCAAGATATATAAAAATTCTATAATCTAAGGTCTAATATGGGATTTACCCCAGTGATTAAGGTGCGACTGTTCATCCCCTTAGGTTTGATCTCCCCCATATGTATTTCTTCTATAATTTGTTTCCCCTTAATGTGGAGTTAAATTTTTCAAATTAAAATTAGGATTAAATTAATAGAATAGGTAAGTAATAATGACATATGTAATTAAATTAATTTTATTAACTGTTGTGTTAATATTTCCGTCAAATCTTAACGGTGAACGGTTTAATTGACAACAATTAAATAATTAGGTGATTAAATTGACAAAATTAAAAGATTTGTCAAAATAAAAAGTGACAATTGAATGTTTATAGGTATAACCGTATAAGCATATTGAGAAAAGAATACTTGAAATGTCCAGTGTGTTTTGGAGAAATTAGTTAACATTCAATTAGCATTGATCTTTTGTTCATTATCAGACATTGTAATTGTAAATTTTCAGTGTCATAATGAAAGATGAATCACATAAACAGTTAGTGGAAACATTCAACTAGTCTACAGTAGACAATGATTCAATTTTCAAGTCTTAACGGAAGAGAGAAATCCCCACAAGAAATGAGAAGTGGAATCCAGAAATCGTCATCCTCTTTAAGTTGGGATCAGAAGCTGTTGTTCATATTTTCCAGTCAATTCAATGTAGTGGTTATCAAAAACAAACAAGAGCACAAGTTGTTCACTCATCTTCTTCACCATTTTTATCAACCCATACTTGAACAACTCCAACGCGGCAGAAATTAGTCTTGGATGTTCCAGGATTGAGCTTCTTTGATACTCAAAAATCCATGTATTTGGATCCAACTGTATAACCGAGGCGTCCCATTTGCTTTGCTCCCATGAAGCATTTGCCTTTCTTGTTACTACAAACCCATGATTTCCATTGGACCACTGTAAACATCCAAAACAAGATTAAAAATTGATCAAGCTGCTTCATTTTTTAATATGGTAAAAGATTAAAAATATAGATATTTACCTCTTTTACTCTGCCGGATAATACGGTGAAAGATTTGGAAGAAAATCCTGTGGCAAGCAATCCTGCAGTTTGCATTGGCCATCCCCAAATTCTCACTTCTTCCATTGATGATTTATGCATTAAACAATGTGAATTCAGAAGCATACTACCCTGCAATAGTTAGTCCAACATTTATCGATTTTATTAAAATATTCGTATCAAACACAGTCATACATCGCATGATCGGATAAAAAAAAAGTTCAGAATTTGAAAATAAAAGAAAAGTTTTTAACCTGATCAATTTCCCATATGGAATCATTATTGCTGCAATTTGAAACCTTGAGATTATGAAATCCCTTCAACTCGTTTTGCATGAACCTCATTTTTGCACTCAAATCTTTCATAATTGAAGCCCTTTCACCGATGCTTCTCACAATATCGCTTGTCAAAACTGGCCTCAAAAACCCACCAAGAACCCAAGAAAACCCAATCTCCATTACAAGAACAAGATTCATCCCCAATAACAACTTCCAAAATACACTCTTCAGACCACCTTTCTTCTTCTTCATCTTCATCCCTCTCGAGTTTAATCTGGCCGTCGATTTAAGAGCCGGGGATTCCGCCAAGCAACAAGAACCCAACCCGGGTGTCGATATCACCGAAGGGTCGAAAGAGATGGGCAAGTGGTTGAATTTAGGCTTGGAAGCCGAGAGTTTAGTGAAGGAGCTTTTCTGGACGCTGACGGACATGAGATCGAGAGTGGCGTTGATGCTGGCTATACACATCTCGCAGTTGCAATTGGCGTCTTTTCTGCATCCGGGGTAATAGCAGCTGTCTCTGGTTTCGGTACGGAAGTCATCTTCCATTGTAATGGTGTTCGATTTCATTGAAGACGATGATGGAGTCACCTGGGGTTTAATCCTTCTGTTTTGTTATCTGTTTTTTCTTCCCTATTTTGAAAAAGAATGGTGTTAATAGGCTTAAATGAGATCTAACGGATTTATGCCTAGGGTTTTAAATTTGAACCTCAAACGGTCATATCATGTGAGAATTATGTTTGTTTTAACTAGTGATAATTTTAGGAAAAAAGAAAAGAAAAACTAAAATTATCACCTAATAAATAAAATGAGTGAAATATAACCTCTTCAAAACACCCAAACTCAAACCAAAAATTTTTGGTCAAATTTTATTGTAAGTTACAAAAATTAGCTGACCCTTATTCCCATATGTAATGGGGTAAGGGGAGGTAAGATAGTAGGTTGTCCCCAACTCCAGGTTGAGAACAGCTTCATTGGGAGACCTCCATATTATGAAATACCCTCTGTGGGACTCGATCTCACGACCTCAAGATTAAGAACAAACTTAATTAAAAAATAAGTGGCTAAATTTTACCTTTTTTAAATAGATGTTTAAATTTTTTCGATTCATTTAAATGTCTAATGTTACACACATTATCACTTCTAGTGTCTCAATCGTGACAATCGTTAAAAAAATATGTTAAATGACATATAATTTATTCTGATAATTTTAAATTTAAAAAAATTAAAAAAATATTTGTTTAAATTCCCACGTGCCCCTCCCACAAACCCTTCGTCTCCCTCACTCCCTCAAATCCCAACTGAAATAACCCTGAAACCCCCGATTGATTGGAACAATAAATAAAAGTAATGGTGGTCGATGGGTCGGTAACTTTATATTCTAGATTAAGGGTGATCGGTGATTAGGATTAGGATTTAGGTGTTGGATATTTGAGATTTTAGGTATTAGAGATTAAAATATATAGATTTGTGAATTTTGAGATGATAGCAAGGGTTATGGTTAATTAGTGGGTGGTCGATGACGTATGGATCGTCGTTCTCAGGCGGATGAGTGAGTGGAGATAATCGATGGTTGTAGTATAATAAGAGATTTTAAGAATTTGTGGTTATTTTTCAGATTTTAATTTTTATGGTTGATTTTTAAGAATTTGAGTTTTTTTTATAATTTTAAAAAAATTTGAGGTTTAATATAATTTTAAAATTACTAAAACATGACATGTTTCACTTAATGGAATTTTTTAACAGTCGTTAAAGTCGAAATACCTAAAGTGATAACGTTTGTAACGTTTGACACCTGAATCGATCAAAAAAATTTAAACACATATTTGAGAAAAACAGTATAATTTGAATACTTATTTTCTAATTAAGCCTAAATTATATACTATATTTAAGTTATAAATTTAATTTACATACTCTATTTTAACCCACAGAGATTGTTCAATTATCATTTGGATCAAAATCGATCGATTTTAAAATTTGAATAATGCAAAAGCTATAAAGTGACTAAATTAAAATTGTCAAAAAGGTACTTAAAGTCCCCGAACTTAAAAACAATTTGGCCCTCATACTTTTTCTCGATCAATGTGGCCCTCTAACTCGAAAAAGAACTCAATGTGACCGTTTGACCAATGTTTTCCGTAATTGGCCAACGACTCTGTTAATTCCTTCTGGGTAAATTACATCATTCATCACTCAACTATTTTCTTCTCTTCTATTTTGGTCACTAAACTCCAAAAGTTTTTAATTTCAGAAACTCTAGATACTTCAAGGACTAAAATTGTAGTTAACTCATTTTACCTTTAACACAAAACCCACCACCTTCATCTCCTCTCCTCACCGCGGTAAAACCGCCAATTTCATTTACCCAGCAGGAATTAATTACAGTTTTAGTTCTTGAAGTCTCTAGAGTTTCCTAAATTAAAAACTTTTAGAGTTTAGTGACCAAAATAGAAGAAAAGAAAATAGTTGAGCGATGAATGGTGTAATTTACCTAGTAGGAATTAATAGAACCATCGGTCAATGATGAAAAACGTTGGTCAAAGGACCACATTGAATTCTTTTTTCGAGTTGGAGGGCCACATTAATTCAAAAACAAGTATGAGGGCTAATTTTTTTTTTAAAGTTCAAGGACATCGGGTACATTTTTGCCATTAAAATATATTAACTAAACACATAACTTACTTAGATACCAACAGAAGAAATTGCTATGATTTTTATTTGTCTTTGGTTTGCTTTAGGCAAAAAATAATTTTATTTTTAAGTTTAATTTATTTAATATTATAGATATTTGTTTTCATTAGTTCAATTTATAATTATGCTTATGAAAATAAAAGCGATGAGTAAATTGATCTTTGAATACGTCCACGAGAGTGAATTGATAATAAAATGTTTGATGGAAACATTTTGAAAAAAATAAAAAAGAATTGATACAAAATATTTAATGTGTTTCAACTTTCTCATTAAAATTTATATTCGCTACTTTAATTTTCATATTAAAAATTTACGTAAATTTACTAATTTTTTTTCAGCCTTTTAGACAAAATATAATTTACAATTCACTTATGATTTATACCCAAAATCTTTGAAATGTCCAAACAACATAACTTATTAGCACAATTGAAGCTCTCACACTCCCAATAACGCAAGGAAAAGAATTAAAATAAAAATAAGAGTAAATTACAATTTTGTATCTAAACTATAAGTTTTATTTTATTTTAGTACCTAAATTTTCATTTGTTTCAAAATTATACTTAACACTTACTTTTTGTTTCATTTTAGTATCTTGCCATTAAAAACTTAACTCATTGTATTTTTATGGGTAAATTACATTCATCACTCAACTATATTCTCACTCCTATTTTGGTCAATAAAGTTTAAAAAATTTCAATTTAACTGTTCAACTTTCAAATTGCTCTTATTTAAATCACACTAATTTATTTCATTAATAAATTTTGTGACATGATATTTTTATTATTATTTTATTAATATATAATTAAGATAAAAAAATAAATTCGAAAGTTAGAGTAATTAAATTATGAGTAATTTGAAAGTCAAGTAATTAAATTAAAAAATTTACCCATAGAAATGGTGCCTACCTACAACTCACCCGTTAAGTTTTAAACGATGAGGTACTAAAATGAAACAAAAAAGTAAACGTTATGTATGATTTTGAAACAAATGAAAATTTAGACACTAAAATGAAACAAAACTGATAGTTTAAGCATTAAGTGGGTAGTAACTAGTGTTCAATGAAAGATGGATGGTTGTCCCTTGTTCTCATATGTAATGGGGTAAGGGGGAGGTAAGATAGTAGACTGCCCCCAACACTAGGTTGAGAACAGCTTCCGTAGGAGACCTCCGAATTATGAAATGCCCTCCATGGGACTCGATCCCACGACCTCAAGGTTAAGAACCTTGTGCTCTACCAACTTAGTTGGATGGTCCTTTCTAGTGTTCAATGAAAGATGAAATTGAGTATACATTGACACTTTTAGCTCTTTGATTGATTGGAATAGTTTTCTTATTGACCCTTGGTTGTTTCAAGACTTTTTCTATATCATCTCGTTGATTTCTAGTCATTTGAAATTGTTGGAGTGACTTTATAACTATTAGTAGCCTTAATTTTTCACAATAAATGTTCATTTGTAAAGAGATTTTGAAGCCCCTGCTGGAGTATCAAAATATGATTTTTACAACTTAGGAGGAAGGAAGTTTCGAAATCAGACAAAGGGTTTCGAAACCATGCATGGGAGGTTTCGAAACTGTAAACATATTATCCTAAAGGTTTTAAAACCTTCAAAGAGGATTTCGAAATCTTACTCTAAATTTTAAAAAAATTTGCCTTATTTTATGTTTCAAAAATAGACTCTATAAACATTTAAGAGATTATTTTTTGGTATTTTTAATTTCTTGAAAATAATTTTTTAAATTATTTAAATAAATTTAAAATTAAATATAAATAATATATTTTTTATAAAATTATTTTTTAATTCATTGTTATATGAAAATCATTCAAGTATACTCATAGAAAAGCAATTTTTTAAAATAAATTATTGGAACTATACTTGTTCAATAAAGCATATTCATCAAAAAGTAGGGGTATGTTTTGGTTCTAGGAAATATTTTCTATTTTTATTTTAAAAAAATAATTGTCATTTCCATTTTTTTTTTTGAAAGTTAGAAAACATGTTTGGTTATTATAAAAGAAAACTTGAATTTAATAATAAAAATAGTGAAAATATATTAGATATCTAATTTTTGAAAATAGAGATGAACGAATAGTTATTAAATAATTAAACTAAATTTAATTATTAAAATATTTTATTATATAAATTTAGCATGTGATTTATACAAATATAAAATAATAAAATTAATAAGCAATTTTATAAAAAAAATATTTTAATTTATAATAAGAATATAATGTTAATACATATTGAATATTATTAAATTAAAAATATATATAAAAAGTATTGTTGTAGATCACAAGAGCACGCAAAAGTATCATTAAAAATTAAATATATATTTAGTGGTATTTAAGACCCTCAATTTTTTGAGAAAAAAAATCAGTGTAGCCCTTGAATTTTTTATACATTTAATGTGAACCTTAAAAAGAGAAAAAAAAATCTAATCCTTTGACCAACAGAACCAAGTTGTCATGATGCTTACATGACAGTTCACAAATCTTACATGGTAATCTACAATGTTGATGTGGCAATTCACGATGTTGTTTAGGTAATACACGATGGTCGATGATGTGGTTGATGAATTTAATTAATTTTTAAAACTAAGTTAGAGGATCTACCTAATTTTTGGGTAAACTACACATTTAATACCTAAACCATCAATTTTGATATGTTTTAGTACCTAAACTTTCATTTTTTTTCAAAATCACACCTTATGTTTAGTTTTTGTTTCATTTTAGTATCATGTCGTTAAGAACTTAACGGACGGGTTGGCGTGTCATACCTCCAATGGATGAAAGACCAATTCGAATGGTTAATCACGAGAGAATGACGAGTTAACCAACATAGTCCAGTTTCAGGCCCATCGGAGAATGAACCATAGAGATCGAAGGATGAAGAGATCGAAGGATGAAGAAATCGAAGAGTCCATCGTTGATTTGGGGAGATTG